AGAATCTAAAATTAGAAAAAAATTAAAAACATTGAGTATAAATGAAGACAATACCAACATACCTATGTATATACATCATAGAAGATTATTTTTTCATCAAAAATCGATTTTTTTTACAGAAAACCTTTGAGAAAAAGAAATACTAACTAATAGAGAAAGGATGGAGATTTGCTATAGTGAAGGAGGAGCTCCAGCAACGGCGCAAAAAATGAAGCAACAAAAATTTAGGGTAAGGAGGAAAAGAATGCTGGGAAACGTTTNAAAAAATTCAATAAGAAGCTAGATAAATTAAAACTTTTAAGTATAAGAAGGAACATCAATCAAAGATAACCAAAATCAAATAGTAAAGATTACTCCTTTTCAACCCAAGAATCTGAAATTAGTAAAAACAACTAAAACCTATACCCAGAAATTAAACAAAATAAAATTACTTCTTTTCAGCCCAAGAATCTAAAATTAGAAAAAAATTAAAAACATTGAGTATAAATGAAGACAATACCAACATACCTATGTATATACATCATAGAAGATTATTTTTTCATCAAAAATCGATTTTTTTTACAGAAAACCTTTGAGAAAAAGAAATACTAACTAATAGAGAAAGGATGGAGATTTGCTATAGTGAAGGAGGAGCTCCAGCAACGGCGCAAAAAATGAAGCAACAAAAATTTAGGGTAAGGAGGAAAAGAATGCTGGGAAACGTTTTGGATCGGAGGAGTATGTTTTAATTACTTTGCCTTTTGAGTATTGGGTGGGGAGGAGGGAAATATTTTCGTTACCTGTGTATTTGGGGGGAAATTTTAAGAGAAATATTTTATAACAAATTTTTAGGTTACACTTATAAAGTGTTAAATTTGGTATTAGAATATAACAACGCTTCAAAAATGTTGAATTATAATTAATAAGCGTTGCCAAATAATTTGTAAATTGGCAACACTTAATAAGTGTTGTCTTTATATTATAAGAGCACGCTTTTTAAGTGTGGCCTTTAAAAACGTGGCTAAAGACTCTAGTCAAAGACCACACTTTATAAGCTCATCTATAGCTACTTTTGGCAACACTTTTCGAGTGTTGTCTATAATTAGTGTGGCTATAGGCCAAAAATATTATAGTGATTGAGTAGATTGAACAACTGTCCATATTATTCCTTAGTCAAATTGAGAGGGGAATTCATGTTGTTGCTGTCACTGCACCCTTGAGAAGTTGTCCCATCATTCTTGGCGGGCATAGATTCAACTGGTGCACCATTCACATTAGCTGAAATCCTCTTGTCCTTATTAAACTTAGGACTGAAGTTGTTGTTTTGAGAATAACCATGCAACTTAAAGCACTTATCTTTGGTGTGACCTGGACGCTTGCAGTAGTCGCAGAATGGACGAGGCCTTCTATTTGGATAATTCCCAGTTGAATAGTTGGTTTTGAAGTTATCATTTCTAGGTGCAGTGGCATTCAAAGAAGTAGATTCCACTATATGTAAGTTGATGTTCCTAGGAGTAAAGACATTCATAGATACAGATTCCATCATAAGCAAATTATTTGGTCTGACTTCCCTATGTTTTCCTCTTGGATCAGTAGAGAAAATGCTTGAGCCACTGATAGTAACAGATTCATCATTAGAATACTACCTCGCATAATCGTATACACCTCATTCAGTCCCATTAAAAATTAAATCAGACGCCTGTACTGTTCAACCTTGTGCATAGACTCTTTGGCTCCACAGATGTATTGGCAGCTATACTGAGATTTGGCACTTAAATTATTTAGTTCTTCCCACAGCTTTTTCATCTTTGTGTAATAACCTGTATCGCCAGTATGAAAAATGGTCCATTCTAAGCACAAAACTGATGTAAATCATTTGCCTCTTTTGCAATCTCTTTCCTTCCACACTCTTCAATTCAAACATAATGTCAACCTTTGTTATACCAAACATACTCCTTGAGACAAGTCGTTAATTTCCTTCTGAATTTTGTATAGTTTGGTTCCATTGGTTTGGTTATAGCGATCTTCTAACTCTGTCCATAATTCTGTTGCATCATTGGCATATTCTATAATGTCTGCGATATCCTTAGCAAGGGAATTTGAGATCCACGAAGTAACTATGTCGTCACAACACATCCATTGACGAAGAGACAGGGAATCTGGTTCTGGACGTTTGCACTCACCATGATGAAGTCTAACTTGTTCTTCACTGAAAGAGCACGTAGGACACTTTTTCTCCAAGATCGAAAACCGATACTGTTGAAAGGAGTCGTTACCAATATTACACCAGGATTGTTTGACGGGTGCACGTAAAAAGGGCAATTCGGATCGATGTTGGGCTCAGAAATGATGGTAGAAATAGAAGTACCTGAGGCGATGCCGGAATCGTCATTTTGATCGAGAATAGCCATGCGAGAATCAATTTGGGAGAAGAGAAATAGTCAAAATTGAAAAACTAGGGCAAATTCGAAACTCCCGATTTTTTGATGAAATTTATGATTCAACAGGAATCGAGAAGTAGGATCTGATTGAGCAAAGCTCTGATACCATGTTAAGTAGAAGAAAACACACAAAACCTCGAGCTTAGACTTGAGCTCCCATGGTGGAACCTAGAAGCTTCGAGAGAGAGAAGAATATGAAAGGAGACAATTTAGAAATGAACTGTGCAATATATATATACACACATATACACACATATACGTGGGTCCTCCACTCAATACATGTAACAAACTAACTAATTGACAGCTAAGCTAACAACACTAAATGAACTGAAAACATATAAATACATAGCTCAATAGTTAGAACTCCAAGAGAAGCCCAACGAATGTCAAATTGAAAATTCTGCACTTCATTAAAATCATGTAATCAGAAAGAGAAAATTCCATTAAATACACGAGTGAGGTGCCATTTGTGTCCATTATCCGATATAAATTGTTTTTCTTTGCACAATATTTCTGCAATTTCAGGATGCAAATTTAAGAAAATAATTTCACAGAGTACTAATTAATTTTTGTAAAAATATTTTATATCGTACAAAATTGGAGAAGGAAAGGATGAGTTTCTCACTGCAGGTCAATCTACTATACCCTAATAATTATCTTTTGGATTTTATCTCCTCATGTATCAAACAAATAACCACATGTATCGAATTCGATCACAAGGCAATAATAATAATAATACCTATTGGTGGAAGGTGAAGTAATGTCATTATGTGCTTCCACTAGAAATCAATAGACGTAGTGTTTGAGTTGCCCTCCACATATTGAGAAGAGGAAACACAATATGGAATTAAGTAGGAGTAAATTTGTGTCGTGACCTAGCATGCAATTGCATTGTTGCTTTCTCCAAAAAGTTTAAATAAAAAAAAACAAAGAGAGAAAGAAAAACAAAGAAGAAAAGTCAGCACCCTTTTATGACGTGGGACTGGAGTATTAATCCTTATAAATTTCATTTACGCAACAGGTTTTGCAACTAAATACAAAGGCGAATCCGGGATTTAGATTTTATGGTTTTAACTTTAATTTTAAGGTTTTTAGTATTAAACTCATTGTATTTTTAAAGTTATGGATTTATATCTACGATTTATTGTAGTTTTAGTGAATTATAAACATAAATTTATGTTTCGCGTCGAAAGTACTGGATTCAGATGAATCCAACTGCTGCATCCGCCATGACTAAAGAGACACGAGAAAACCTCTGCTTGTTAATTTTGACTTGAGTTACACAAATCAAGTTAGTCAAAGCTTTGTAAGTTTGAATCAACATATTAAATTATATTTTTGCAACACCATATATAAATTTATATTTAATTAGTAGCAGCGCTCATAATACAGAAGGGATCACTTCCGACATTTATCTTATACGGGTGTCGCGAAAAGCTTACATTGGTGTTGTTTTCAATGATGTCATTTGCAAATCAAAGACAGGTTATATACATCTCTACGCAGTTGCTGAATCTAAACTAACTTGAGAGTGCGGAAACAAAATGTGGTTTATTTTTACTCAAAATACTCAAATAAGTATAAAAAAAAGTTACCAAACTATATATAACGCTACTAATAGTGATGCTATACAGTAACTTTAACTGTACCGTTACTGTATAGCGCCACTATTAGTGGCGTTATACTGACAAACCTTACATAGCGTCATTAATAGTGGAGCTATACGCCTTATTACCTGAACATATAGCGCCATTAATAGTGGCGCTATACCCCTTAATACAAATCCTCCATCTTCTTCTTCTTCGTTCCATCTCACTCATTTTCATTTCTGGTCCCCCACCACCACCACCACCACCACCGATTCTGCCCCCATTTTTTTTAAAAAAAAAATTGGGTCCCCCCGTCACATAAAAGTTTAATATTTGTGGTCCCACTGTCGAGTAGAGCTTCGTGTTATTGTGGATTCACTCTTCCGGAGTCAAAATTTCGATCTATCTACATTTCGAAAATTATAAATCGAAGTATTTCGATTTATTTTAAGTTGAAACTTTTATAACAATGCATATTACTTGATTTGTACGTGCTCTATTTCGGTTTGTGTTTATTTTTTCCGAAACTAGCATGTTAAATTTTATCCGGATTTAATTTTAGTGTTGTATA